TTTTTTATGAAAATAATTGAATTCCTTAAAAAAAATTTTATTATTTATAAAAATAATTGAATTATTGCGAAGGAATTTATAAAAAAAATTTGTAAATAATTGAATTCCTGAGAAATTTTTATTATTTATGAAAATAATTAAATTTTTTGGGTACTATTTTTGGGAATTTAAAATTGATTTGAAAATTGTTGAACTTTGGGAAAGAATTTTGTTAATTTTTTATTTACAAAGATAATTGGGATTTTGTCGAGAAATAATTGAATTTCTGCAATTATTTGTAATTTTTCCAAATTTCGATTTTTTTAGTGTCTTGAACAAAAATTTGAATTACAAATTTTTAAATTCTATTATTTTTAAAATTGCTAATTTCATTTTAAAAAGTTAGCCCCGCGTGCTTTAGCGCACGAATTGTTGCTAGTAAAATTAATAAACAATAATAATTTGATAATTAACCCTTAAATTGCAAAAAAGAAAAGAAAGAAATAATAATGACTTTTCTTATTAGAAAATGTTTATGCGCTCTTTTGTTTTCAAAGCAAGAGGCATTGTTTGGATTTTCACAACTTTCTTATTTCAGTTTCGCCTCAGGCGAAATGGTATAGAGAAAAATGTGCACAATTTCTATTATAAATTACAAAAATTCCATGAAAATTTAAAACTATAACTGAAGAATGCAGAAAATTAGTTTTAATATTATTATTTTCAGGAATGACTGAGAGAGAATGATGTATTTTCTAATAAAAATAATTCCTGTCTTTTTTTTCGATAAGATGAAAAATATGATCAAGAAATTATAAAAACCAAAACAAAAAATACAAAATTTACGAAAAATGCCTGAATTATCATTTCTTTTGGGGCACTTTAGTATCCCAATTGTACTTTTTACTCCACAAAATATAATAATTTATAAAATAGTAAATTTTTACTGTTTGTTGATAAAAATTGCATTATTCATTGTTGAAATTGTGTCTATATCTAGATATAATATATTGTGTAAATATTTTGTGGTACGTGCGAGAGCATATGACAGTAAGGACTCGGTGAGGATTTGACCCATTCAGAGAGGATTGATTTAACTATAGAGCAATTCATCAAGCAATATTAATTATAATTATAACCGAATTTCTAATTACATGATGTCACACCCCCGTTGTACAATTACAGGGTTCTAACCATGAGGAATTGATTTTCCACTAAGGGAGAACTATCTACCACTCTGACTGACACTGTGAAAAGTCATTATCGGCTGAGAACACACAGGTCTATTGAAACAATTCATACCATCATATGCTCTCTCTCTCTCTCTCTCTCTCTCTTGATACATATATTTGTATATGTATGTAATACGCGACAGATTTCAATTAAATTTATTTTATTACTACAAAAACTTATTAGGTCACAATAACTCATTATAAAAGTTGCATAAACTACTCTTCGAATTTAAATCAATTAAAATTCGTTTTGAAAATGAAAAACAAATTACGGAGTAACAGTAAAAATTTGTTTACTAATTCATTGCATAGTTGCGATTTTTATTTTTAACACTTTAACAAATTATAAACTTTTAGCTCCTGGAATTTAAAATTAAATTATAATCTATTTTTTATTCATTAATTATAATCTATTTTTTATTCATTAATTATAATTATTTGCATAGAAAAAATTTAAACATCTTTTATTTATCCATACATATTTTTTCCTCTAATATATTTTTGCATCCGTCTAAAAATATTTATAAAGAAAAATTGTGTACCAGTAAAATATTTTCAAGAAAAAAGAAAAAATTCTATAAAAACAAAAAAAAAATTGTCATATTGGAAAAATTTAATTTTCTTCAGAGGGATTTCATTGAGAAAGGGTTTTCTCTATTTTTTTTTTCTTTCAATTTTTTTTCACAATTTTTTTTTTTTTTTTTTTGCTGTATAAAACTCTTATGCCATGCGTATTCGATATCACATCATCACTTTCCCGGGAGTTTCAATAAAATTCAATTTTCTCGACCATGAATTGACTGGTGATTGGCTGCCGCCAGGAAGTTCGTCTCGTCGTCTCGCTCAATTCCCGAACCCAATTCCTGGGGTGCGTATATACTCTGTTGATACCTTCATTCTAAACTTTTGAACGTTCAACTTTTGCGATTTAACCTCCGGAATAAAAAGAAGCCGAGCAAGAGAGAGATAGAGAAACTCAACATTCACGCGCAAGTTTGGGGAACCATGTAAATCTCCGATGAAACTTTATTGATGGAATACCATTATTAGATTAATACTATATAATACGGTCATTGAAAAACAAAAATACATTTTCCGCTTTTTTAAATTATTTTTCCAACTGGAAGGGCATTTTGTGGAAAAAAAAGAAAATATTGATTACAATGCATTGCGATATAAAAATTCTCGCAATTTTCGGTAAAATATTCACCGTTTTTCTAAGATTATCTCAAATTGAGACAAAAAACGAATTAAAAGTGTCACTTTTGATTCGTTTTTTTGTCTCAATTTGAGATAAACTTAGAAAAACGGTGTACACTTTCGAATTTTTTTTTTTAAATAAGATTTAAAAAACATTTTCTTATGACTCAGTATTTTTATTTCTTTATCTGTCAATGATTGTATGTGTGATTTTTTAAACAGGAAAATGTACAAGATCACATTAAAAATTCCATGCATCAATGTCAGATGAATCGTAAGATGGAATTACCTTATCAGCTTGTGCCACTGAGCCCGTATATTTGACTGAGGAAGGTGAATGAAAATGAGTTTGTATTGGATTTGAGTGCGAGTGATAAGAAAGACATTATTTCACGAACACCGGAAGGAAGTTTTCATTTCTTTCATATTCGACCTTTTTTTATTTCAATTGTTCAATAATTTATCCCTCGTCGATTCTCACTTATTTTCATTCGAAAGATCATTGTGATTAGATTTAACGAATTTTCAAAATTATACTCAGCTTCTCTTCAAATTAAACTGCAATGTATATTATCATAATAATAAAAATTAAATAAGTACCTAAATAAATGATAATAATAATTTTTTTTAAAGTTGGTAATTTTATTTTTTGGTAATTTATTTTCATTTTACGATAATTATTCAATAGCGATTATAATTTCAAAATTATTATTAATTTTAATTATCGTTGTTTGATTTTTGTTGTTTCCCGTGTAGAAAAATTTCGTGGCGCTAGCTAGCAGCGCTAGATTGCATGTAAATTTACCATGTATCTAGCACTGCTAGCTAGCGCCAAGAAATTTTTCTACACGGGTTATTATTTTAATTTTCATTTAAAAATTAAAATTGTTAATTTTTATTTTTTTAACACAAAACTAAAAGTCGTTCTGCAAAAAAAAAAAAAAAGAAAAAAAAAAGATGAAGAATGTAAACAAACGTAAATATTTTTCCTCGTTCTTGAAAAATGATAATCAGATCAGGAAAATGGTGATTATTTAAGTAGTTCAAGTACACGATGTTTCTCATTTTAAATCTACATCATCTCGTGTGCGGGTAATCACAATATAAAAGAGCAGAGTTAATAGAGTTAATAAGATAAGAGATTAAAAATGAAGATATTTTCAAAAAAAAAAGGAAAACAGTTTTTCCTTGAAATTATAAGAGAGCAGTAAAACAATAGAAGAATATGCGTAGTCTTATGGTCAGTAAAATTATTTTCATTTCTTTTTTAATTTTCAAGATAACAAATATTTTTTTTGATAAAGTATCAGTATATTAAAATTTTTCAAAAAACAATATTTTGCGAAATTTATATTTCATGTAATGAAATAATTTTCTGTTATTAAACCACTAAAGACAAATGTAAAAAGTAAACGAAATAGTAAAAAATACACTGAAAAATATTTATTTGATTCAAATTATGAATTACTTGTCTATTATCAAATAAATATTTACTTGGATTAAATAATATTTATTCAAGTCAATTAGATGGTATTTTTTTCAAATATACTGTAATTATTGGTTTTAATTCCAATTTAATTGACCTATATATAAAAATCCCCTGATTCAAGTAAATATTTATTTGATAACAGATAAGTAATCAATTTTTTGAATCAAATAAACTTTTTCTCAGTGTAGACAAAATAATTAAAAGCACGAAATAATAAAAAATAGACGAAATAATCAAAAGTAAATAAAATTAACGAAAGTAAACGAAAAAATGTTTATTTATGTAAATAATAAATTATTGAAAAAATAAGTAAACAAATAAAATAAATTTATCGAAAATAAATGAAAAAATATTTATTTTTTTGTAAATAATAAATTATTGAAAAAATAAGTAAACAAATAAAAAAAATTAAAAGAAAATAAATGCAAAAATATTTATTCATGCAAATGATAAATTATTAAAAATTGTAATTAGTAGAGAAAAATGAATAAAAATATTAAAAGTACGACATCGAAGAGAATTAGAAATTTTCTAATTCTGTGGGTAATTGAACTTTGTGATGTATGAAGAGAGAGAGAGAGAGAAAGGGAGAGAGAGTAAAAGTGATTAAGCGTAGAGACAATCAACTAACGACAATTATCGTCAATTGAACCATGAGCTTGGTGTTCATGAAAGGTGATTATGGTATGACGTATGGTGACGTTGATCAGATGCCCGGATGTCAATGCGGTCGTTGTTTCGACGATTTCGACATTACTGACTTATTTACCTTGGCAATTAAACTCTAAATCCACGGTCGCGCAGGTGTACACACGCGATGAAACACGAACCTGACAATTTACAATGCTCTCAGTTATTATTATCTACGAACTCTCTGTCTTCTGATAACTGCACGAGCAAATCAAAATTAGTTCCCGATACATTGCTCTCGAGAAAAAAAAATATTATCATAAAGGTAGGGGGATTTCACAGAAAATGCAGTCAATCCAAATATATATAAAGAACCAACAAACAGTAATTCTTTCAATTCTCCTTTTTTTGCTTTTCATTCTTTTTTTTGTAGTTCATATATATATTTAATTATTTATTTAATTATTTATTAATTTATTTATATATTTATTTACTTATTTATAAATTTTCTTATTTATTTATATATTTATTATATTTATTTACATTGTGCATATTTTACATATTTTACTTGAATAAAAAATGGACAGTCGAACCTTCATAATTTTAGTGATTTTGGGATTTGTTACACTCTTCGTCAAAGGACACATAAACTGTAAGTTTTTTTTTATTACCAATAATGAAAACAATAATTAATACAAAATAAAAATTATAATTACAATTTTTTCCTTAACAATAATAAAAAAATAATTATTAAGAAGGCAATTAATTTAATTAAACGTCAGGAAAATCAGGAAAAAAGGTAACTTTATCAAAAGTGATGAAAAAATATCTAATTTCTAGAATTACTACATCAATTCTGATTTTTGGTGTTAAAAAGCATAAATAAATTAAAAATTATAAATTAATTAAAACGACCGAGTAATAAAATCAAATATTTATTATCATTTTCTAAATACTCAAAAACTTAGAAAATGAAAAAAATATATAAAAGAAACAAAAAACTTAAAAAAATTCTCTTTGAATAATATTAATAAATAAATAATTAAATTTTAATATAATTTTCTTCAAACTAATAATTACAATTAAAAAATTTTTTTAATATTTTAAAAATATTTTATTTGAAAACAGTTGCAACTATTCCGAGTTAATTAAAAATTCAGAAGATTTTAAACTAAAAGATTTAAATAGTTCAATTGTTTTATATAGAAAATCTGAAAACAATAGAAATTTTAATTAAATTTTTTTAATTTACTTGAATTTTTCAAAAAACATTTTATCAGATTATTATTAAATTAAATGAATTTTTTTTAAACTGACTGAATTTTTTTTTTAAGAATCATATCCAAATTGCATCTACAATAATTTAATTCCGAAAGATATACAATTAAAATTTTTATTACCTACTTAATTTAAAAAATTTTAATAAAAAATTGAAATTCCAACAAGTTTTCTTTAAATTTCATAAAAATTGGTTATTAAAATATTCCAACTTTACTTCTTAGAGATGATTAAATTTTTATAAACAAATGATTGAAAATTCTTGAAATAATTGAAATTTTCTAAAATTCTATAAAAATAATTGCATTCTTTTTTAGAGAATTTTATTAAAATTTTTGAAAATAACCGAGGGAGGTTAGTTAAAGTAATTAATTTTATTTTTTAAATAAATTGTAGCCCTTGAAGTTTAAAATCAAATTTTTTCTGATTAAAATTACCATTTTTTAATAATTAAATTTCCCTTCTATGTTTTTGTAATATTGAACAGGGAAAAAGTAAATTTTCTATTTGGAAATCAGGAAATTATTATTATTTTTTGTATTATTATTATTTTTAGGTATAATTAATTTTAATAATATATTTTATTAATATTTTTATTATTATTACCATTGTATAGAAAAATAAAAATGCGTTGAAATATTTTGTTATAAATTCAAAAGTGGTGAACTTTTTTATTTCTTTAAAGGACCTTTTTCCTCAATATTAGTGTCAAACTGTAGAGTATTTACAAGTAAATGTTTATGATTATGACGGAAACAGTAAAAATCGCTATAGAAAAAGTAAAAATTGCACTTATAACGATTCGATGCATTTCGAGACTGAACTCGATTCAACGAGGCGGAATGTGAAACAGAACGGAAGTTAATGGAGAACTTTGTCGCAAAGTGGAAGAACCGGAAGTTAATAAACCAAATTTATATACGTGTTCAACATTCAAGTTTTGTATTTCTTTTAACTTCAATGCGTATTTATATATATATAAAAGTAAATCTTTGTTCGTTCCTAATTACAGTTGCCTCTTTAAATTTTTTTACTCAAATATATAATTTGCAATTAGAGTCAATTTCTATTTAAATTATTTTTTATCTATTAATTAATTCATTTCTTTATTCAATACAATTTAATTTTCTCGAAAGAAAATATTTCAGAACATTTTGATAACTAATGTTGTTTATTTTTGTAAATTTTATTACTTTCCTTTGTAAAAACATTAAATTGTAGATAAATAAATAAATAAATAAAAATAAAAAACATTTTATTTATTTCAATATAGAATAATTATTTTCTTTTTTTGTAAAGAAGGTATTACCTTTTTTATTATTAAGGTATTAACTTTATTTTTATACTAAAAGTATAAAACTGTGACATGACATAATTCTTCTCTTTTTATTTTGAAATAGAGAAACAAATTTTTGTGTGAAACGAATAAAATTCACGCGAACTTTAAATCCTCTATATAATAATTTTAAAATCAGTTATTTTTGAAATAATGTCGCAATATAAAATCAGTCAATCGTTATTATTGTATTACATGCAACAATGTTAGGTGATGCAGAATTTTATGCGTTGCAATTTCTCTCGGAGCTGAAAAAGCACACTGCAAATACGGAAGTACAGTAATTATCATACATTGATTGCATATAACCTCATGTGCTTTACATACATGTATGTATATATGAGTGAAAATCCTTTGTAATTTTATTTTCCAATATGACAATATTGCAATGAAAAGTATTTTTTTGTTTTTTAATATTTCCACTTTAATCAAGTTCTCCATATTTCGGAAAAAACTAATAAAGTACTAAAAAAAATTTTTTTTAAATTTAATTTAAAAAAACGAATCAAAACGTTGCTTTGCAACACTTTTGATACGTTTTTCGTCTCAATTTGATATCCTTAGAAAAACTGTAAAATTTTTTTAAATATTAATATTTAAAAAATTTTTAATAGTTTTAAGAAATTTGGAAAAGATTTTAAAAGATTTGAATAGTTTTAAGAATTTTAGAAAATTTTAAAAAGTTTTTGAATAGTTTTAAGAAATTTTGAAAAGTTTTAAATAATTTAAAAAAAGACTATTCGACTTAAAAGAGAGAAATTTACAGAAATAAAATTAGGGAAATTTAAAGAAGAAAAAAGACCGAATGGAAATTATCAAAAAAAAAAAAAAACAGAGAAAAGAAAAAAAACAGTGATGAAAGATGTAAATTAAAAGAATGCTTCAACACCAATTAAAAATGAAGTAGCCAAACTGAAATTAAGACAACAAGAATGCTGACTCTATAAATTTCTCAGTGACACGTTACATCCGTATTACTTTTATCGCACCGCAGGGTCCGATTCTTACCCAACTAGTTTCATTTCTCCTATCCACTCCATTCGGATTTATTCCCACCTTTTTTCATTCCCTCTTTTTTTTTAATGCAAAAAAAAAACAAAAATTACATTTTCACACACAAACGGAAAAATAAATTAACGCTTACAGTAGCATGAGGATAAGAAAAAAAAAATTTACACACACACACTAAAGAAAATTGTATTTCTTTTTATTTTCACCACCTTTCCACCCCCCCGAAAAAAGGAAAATAACACTCGCCTCTCTTTTGCGTCAAAGGTTCATTTCAAAGTTATATAATCGGTGTGGCATCCCACAAATCCACGTTATCTTCAAAGTCTTTGCTTATCTAGTATATGTATGTATATGTATATATATGGAGAATTCGTAATTCGTTTGAACGAGACCGCTAAAGGTTTATCCAAAGGTGAACGGCTAATCCTCTCAAAGCAACCTAGCGTCATGTACGTGCATGCTGCAAATCTATTCCCACCACCCTTCTCTTATATATGAGGTTGACTATATCGATTTAATTGAAACTTGAAACTGACGCCACGTCGATCGGAATGCTAATCGATTCAGGGCGCTGAAGGATCCTCCGCAGTCTCTCTGTTGTGTGTGAATTTAATGCCCAAGCATAGGGATGGTTATACGGTGGATCTGTCATCACAATCCCTCTGCCATACAGGACCCACGTTTCACGCCCCGGCTGATTAATTGGACCTCTAAATCCGTCCAATACTATATATGTATATACATTATAGAATATATATATATATGTATATAGAATTCCAAGTCGTCTCTATTTGAAAACGCGTAATAGATATGTCAAAACCAGGTCGAACACGATCATGATAATATGCTAATATTTTGACGTTCCTTCGACGTGAATCTAGGATTAACTTGATAAGATGTGACGTACACGCATAAACACACTCTAATGTACTTATATGTTATTTCTCGTTGAGAGAAAGAAAAATAAAACTTTCTTTAGATTTTAAAAGAGAATGGGAAAGAAAAGTCGACTGACATGTTAAAATCTTTCAATATTGGCTTTTCTTTATATACCAGATAGGATTGCGGATGAACTTTTCTTAAAAAACTGTATAAAGATGAGAGGGTATTATTTTACTATACAGTTATTATTTTTCCGTGGAGAAATATAATTTCGTTATAAAGAATATGATGAAGAATTAAAAGAGGAAGAGAAAGAAGAGTAAAAGTCAATGTAAACGAATAAGAAGTGAAAGGCAAAGCAAAATAATAAAATGTAAACGAAACATTAGAAAGAAAAAGAAAAATTAAGTAGTACAAATAAGTTTGAAGTCAGACACATTTTTTCTAGTAAATTAAATTATCAGTATAATGGAGGATAGTTTCAATGAAACATTTTTTTCGATATTTTTCTAATTTTTGTAACAGTAGTGAAAAACTTTCTAAAAAAAACTTTTTTTTAGAGAATTAAGGTATTAGTACTAGAAGTGAGTTTCAAACATATTTTTACGACTTTTTTTAAATTCTCGGATCAGTGGTAAAAGTATGTTTTAAAATAAATTTTTGTCCAGCAAATTAAAATATCAGTAGTAGTAAGAAGTTTCAGTCAGACTTATTTTTTTGTCAATTTTTGTTAAAGTTTTAAATCAGTAGTAAAAGTCGGTTTTAAGTCAGACAAGTATTTTTTCAAGTAACTAAAATTTGAGTGTCGATAGTATAAGGAAGTTTCAATCAGAATTATTTTTTATAATTTATTAGTAGTTGAAGTCGTTTTCACGTCAGACTAAGTATTTACAATTTTTCAATCGTTGAAGTCGATTTAAGACAATTATTAACTATAATGCAGGTATTTTTTCATGATTTATAATAAAACAATATTTGAATTTAGAAAATATAAAAAAATTATGATTAAGAAATAAATTTTGTTTATTATATGCTTTTTTCTATAACAAATTTCGACTGATCTAAATTACGCAAATTTTTCTTCTTTTTATTTTTAAAAAATATGAGAAAATTGTTAATTAATTGTTAAAAAATTATAATTAAGA